GGGTTCAGGAAAGGAAGAGGCACCAGGGATCATGTTGCAAATGTACGATGGCTAATGGAGCGCAGCAGGGAGTTCCAAAAGACAATCAGCATGTGCTTTACAGACGATAGCAAAGCCTTTGACTGCATAGATTACTATTCGAGTTAAGGAAGAGCATCCAGCACCTTGGATAGATCCTTTAAAGCAGGGGTAGGCAACCTTTCCCCTTTAAGGGCCAAAGAACTTCAGATCCCAGAATCCCAGGAACTATTGGCCAACATGGGGCTATTGACCAACATGGCTGAGGCTTCTTGGAACTGAAGTCCCTCGGCCCTTAAAGGGGAAAGGTTGCCTACCCCTGCTAAAGTCTGGATGAAAATCTGGAGTGAAATCATCATCCCATGGACATGGATGCCACCAACTGCATTCAGCCATAGTTACTCAACTATGGAGTAAGAATAAGACTGGAGTGTTGAGAGCTAGTGTGGTATAGTAGTCTGAGTGCTGGACTATGACTCTGGAGACCATGGTTCGATTCCCAGCTCAGCCATGAAACCCACTAGGTGACCTTGGGCAAGTCACACTGTCTCAGCCTCAGAAGGCAATGGCAAACCTCCTCTAAACAAATCATGCCAAGAAAATCCCAGGATAGGTTCACCTCAAGGTGGCTATAAGTCGGAAACGACATGAAGACACACAACAACAAGTCAGATTAACGAAAAGTGTTTTTGTTGGTTAAAGTAAGCAACTAAGCCTCCTATCTTCTATGTATTTAGCTGGGAGTAAGCACCCTTGCATGCACCAGGGTTTCCTTTTGAGAACAAACGTTTTTCCTTGGCCATTTTGGTGTGGTCCTCTTTATTTTTTTATTAACCTTCTTTTTAGCATGTTTGCTAATAGATCACTGTTTCTTTCTGTACTCTTGTCTGCAGTATTTGGATACTAGAAATGGTTAATCTCCACCGTGTAGGTGAAAAAAGTACAGCCCTGCAGTCTTATTCCTGGCTACTCAGAAATACATCCCACTGAATTCAAAGGAACTAACATTTAAATCCTGGGTAAATGTACATGTATACATAAGATCACAGTGATTTGGAGCAAGCCCCGTAAAAAACGATGGGATTTACTTCTGAGTAGATATGCACAGGATTACAGTGTAGGAAGTATTTCTGGTGAATCACTGGCCTTCTCACACGTTGCAAAATCCCAGCGTTTTTCTGTGACGCTCCTGGGAAAAGGGTTCTTCTTCTGCAAGCTTGAGTCAGTCTCATCAAAGGGCTGCAGATTCATCCGTCTCTGTCAACACCATGGCACCTGTGGGAGTTCAGAGAAGGCTATGGATG